GGGGGGGGGGGGGGGGGGCACGGCTTTCTGCAGCATGGGGGCATGGTGGGCTGCCCACTGTGGGCTTGGGGCTCTCTGTCCTGCTGCCTTTGCCCCAGGAGCTCAGCTGCTCAGCGCTATTGTGCTTCATGCCACCAGGCAGGCAGGGGATGCGCTGCACAGCCAATGCACCCTGCATCTCCTACTCACCCTGTGGGTGGCAATGGCATTGCATGGCTGAGCTCCTGGGGCAAAGGCAACAGGGCACAGAGCCCCGAGCCTGCAGTGGGCAGCCCACCCCTGTTCTGCCAGGGGTATGTGCCCCCCATGCCTCCCCTGGAGGTGTGCAGTGCTGCGGGGAGCCATGCCCACACCTCTGGATGACCTGCCCTGGGGGGCCCCATTCACCACAGTCCCTGCTCCTGCCCCACTCCCTCCCTCACCGCGGGGGCCTCTTTTTTTCTTTTTCCCCTCCCTCTTCCCCTGACCCTTTCCCCTCCACTTCACCAACTGGGTGCTGTCTGTGTGTCTGCACCTCGCTTCCAAGCCACAGCCCCCCCCAGCCTTGCTGCCGCCTCTCACTCCTGATCCACAGTACAAAGTATCTTGCCAGTGTGTGCAGGGACCGCCCCCAGGCTTCAAACCCCACAGACACCCCTGCCCCCCAACACCTTCACAGAGAAACCCCCCCCGACACACACACACTTAAAAAAAATAGCATCTCATGATTTACATGTCAATCTCTTGGGGTTTTTTTGTTTTTTTTTTAAGAGTTCATCTCATGGTTTTTGGCATGGTGGAGTTGGCAATACTGCATACTTCCTGTGACACCTTACTGAAGTGGTTATTCACTGTAGTAAGCATTGCTGTCAGTAATCGCTTGTGGGCACATTCAAGCTCCATTTCACATTACTGTAATGTTTAGAGGTTCCAACTAGGAATGAGGCTTCACTGTGCTCGACTGCCTAGCAACAAATGGTATCAAAAGGATTACAGTTTAAATAGGCAAAGCAGGCAGGGTGGGATGGGCAACAGTGACCTGCTCAGGACCACACAGAAAACAGAGGCAAAGCTGGGAACTGAACTCTGGTATCTCAAGGTTCAGTGCCTGCTCCAGTGGACCGTGTTGCTTCTCAGTCATCTGCTGCTGCTTCACTCCAGCATTGGCTATCACGTCTGATGATCCCACTGCTATTACCAGGCAGTCTGTTTCTCTTACAGTGCATCCTTCCTCTTTTTTTTACTTGCATTTGTGTCGATTTGAAAGTGAGTTAGCAAACTTAGTACTTCATTTAGTAGGACCTGAAAGATTTATGTGGGTATTGTTTAATTATGCTCTTGTTGAAGACAGTTTTTCTATTGACATTAATAAAATCAGGTTTGGGACTTTGATTTAGACATTCCCTACTGAAGTCAGCGTCAGAACTCTAGTTTAAAAAAAATGACATTCCTTTCTCTTGTTAAATTGTACAGTTAGCAAAGTGCTGAAGATTTCAGTACTGTGTAGTTTTTAATTATCCTAAATGTGTTTCAAGGAGGCGGAAATAGCTTTTATGGCTGAATTTGAAGGTATCACTATCTCTCCATTCTAAAAGATGATTTAATAATGCCTTTTATTGTGAATGAGAAACTAATCTTTATTAATGGGAATTGCTAATTTTGAAACGTTATATAACTAGCCCATACAGGCTCAGTAGGACTCTAGTGACTCAGTTATGATAGTGTAGTGCCAATTTCAATGTTACATCTGTGTTTTATCATGGGATTCTCTTCTCCAAGTTTGTGAAACTCTGTAAAGGTAAGCTCAATTGAGCCTTGGTCTGGAAGTGGTAAATCTGGCTACTGGTTTCATGCAGTACAAATGT